GAGAGTTGGTTATCGAGTGGGCTCAGCTCCCCCCCTTGGGATCGAAGCTTCCACGACCTCGCACCCAACATCCCAGGCGGGATCAGAAGGGGACTCCACACCGGACACCGCCCGGGCACAGCCCCCCTACCCGTCGGATCGCACAGAGGGCCCCCTCGGAGCAGCCCACACACAATCACGCATCGGCAGAGTTAGTGCCTGAGTCAGGCAGACAGCACAGACAAGGAGAGGAGAGAGAGAGAGGAGAGAGAGAGAGAGGAGAGAGGAGAGGGTGAGGGAGTGTGTACACGTGAGGAGTGGGGAGGGTGTCTGTGGTGGGTTGTAGTCCTACTACGTGGTTAAAACCACGCGCCCCTCAGGAGCTTAAGGTAGAGCTGAGCGTCCAAGACGCCTCGGTGCCTCCCACCGGCGTGAAGACCATCCGGATCAGCCCAGTACGCCCTCCGGGCGAACGGTCCCCGCGATGGCCCACGGTCCTCCGTCGCCTGGTTGAACCCCCTGCCTCCCGGTTGACCCCCCGGTCCCCGTACACGACCATGAAATAAACTCAAAGTCCACCACAGCCACCAGCCTCCACCTCCACCCGCGAGCCGCCACCGCTGCCGCCCGCGACGCCGCCCGCCGCGTCAGATAGCCGCGACGCGCGCATCGAGTCGCGTCGGAGAGCCGCGCCGCACCAGCAGCAGTACCTGCACCACCAGCAGCAGCAGCAGCACCACCACCACCACCCGAGAGAGAAGCGCACCTGCCCGACGCCGCCCGCCGCGTCAGACGCTCGCGACGCGCGCGTCGAGCCCAGTCGCACAGCCGCGCCGCGCCAGCAGCAGCATCGGCACCAGCAGCAGCAGCACCACCACCACCACCAGCAACAGAGACAGGCAGTGCAGGCGCAGAGGCGCTCGCAGAGCGGCGCTCAGCGCCGCGCACGCCACGCCGCGGACCGTCGGACAAGCGCACCGTACGTCGGCGGCGAGCCGCGTCGCCAGCCGTCTCGCGAGAGAGCGGCGCCGCCGCGTGCGCGCAGCAGCCGCCGCGGCAGAGGCGAGCCGCGGCGACGTCCGCACTAACGGATAACGGCCATTGGCGGTTTCTCTCTCTCTCTCTCTCTCTCTCTCTCACACACACACACTCCGCACCGCAGGCGATCAACCCTTGCCTTTTTTTCGATCAGACGCCGAAACATCTCCCAAAAGTGGGGGGGAGCACTGACGGTCGGCCGTCAGAACCACGCCTGCGTGCGTCACACCAATCCTCGCTACCCAACGCGGCCAAAGGATATCAACCTCGAGAACCTCGAGAGTGTCGTCCACGAATATGCTCTCCACCTTCATCACACTGACGCACGCGCAAGCGCGCGTGCTCCACTACGAGGCCTCGACCGGCCACGCGCGCCAGTCGTGGTGCCCGCGCGCCGGCGCCGACCGCTACATTGACGACGGCTGGACGGCGCTCTCCCGCGCCGCGGCGCTCGGTGATGAGGCGGCGGTGGCGAGGTCGCTGGAAGAGGGCGCGCTTCCTGACATGCCCGACGGCTCCGGCTACGCGCCGCTCGCCCGCGCGGTGCACGGCGGCCACTTTAACGCCGCGCGCGCACTCCTCAAAGCCGGCGCGTGGGTGCACCTCACGTCGGGCGACGGCGCGAGCCCGCTCGAGATTGCGGCGAGGGCGGGCGACACGCGGCTGGTGCAGCTCCTCCTCAACGCGAGCGCCAAGGCAAGGCCCGGCCTCGCTTCTGAGACGGGCTGTGGCGACGGCGGCGGTGGAGGTACACCAACCGTCGAGGAGGGGCAAGAGGCAGGGGATGAGGCGGCTCTTGGCGAGGACATGCGGCGCGCGGCGGCAGCGCTGCTCGCCTCGCCGCCCGGCCTCGAGGGCTCGGCCAGCCATCAGCTAGATGCTGCACACCTCCAGATGCCCCTTAGTATTCTGAGCCGTCTGGAGACACGCGTTCCATTCGGAAGGATGGCTGAGCTCAGCGTGCGTGTTCACTACGCAGGCCACCGCAGCGGATGCAGTGACGTGACCCCCCCCACGCACGCACGCACGCACGCACGCACGCACGCACGCACACGCACGCACGCACGCACGCACGCACGCACGCACGCCGCTCACCCACGCGCACTGGGCCTTGCACTTTGAATGCCGTGGGGCTCCTGTCCCTCTACCCAATGGATTCGTTTACCGTGCCTTACCTTAATTGCAGGCACGTCGTGCTGCCTGATGGCCCGGGCAGTGACCACGGCGGCGGCGTCCGCGACGACGACGACGGCGCGCTCCCGTTTGCGCCGTGACTTGTTTGCGCGCGCGAGAGCGCGCGACCTTGGGTGTGCAGTCTCTGTGTGCGCGCCGGGCGCTGTACGTGCTCGTCAGGCGCATTTACCATCTTCGGGCTTGAGATGTCAGTGAGAGTGTGTGTCGTATGGAGACGGAGGTGTGGCGGCGCGGTCTCTTAGCTTTCCTCATACCTCAATGGGTCTTCGTCTTGTGTGCGTTCTGACTTCACTGTCATCTGTGAAACTTGTGTATGAAGAATGAAGGCTGTAGGCTGGTCACTATGTCAAAACTACAGGGGTAGGCAATGAAGCGGAGCTCTGCGCCCTTTCCCACCCGCCGGGGGGGCACCCAGGCCGGCCACCTGATCGGTAGTGGTGGACGGGAGGCGCGAACAGCGCCATCTTGGGGTCTACACGCCGACCAGTGCTCCCGTCAGTGACCAGGAAGAGGGGCTGCGTGGCCTTCTCAGCCGCCGGCCGCGCGTCCGTGTGGTCTACAGTTAACGAACCAAAAGCCCTGCTTCCGTTTTAACACAAATTGGGTGGCGAACTCGGCGCCCATAGCTCTGGCTCGAGTTTTAGCTATTATGTCGCGAAACGCATAAGCCGCCCCAGCGAATGGCCGATACGGCCGGAATCGGAGGCAGTGCCGGGGCGGCTAATGCGTTCTCCGAGGTCATGTTCGTGGGCGGAAAACGAACCGGCACCCCGGCGGGGCACCTTACGGGCTGTGTTAAAACGAGAGCTCAGATCCCGACTTCACAGTGGGCCGCAGGAAAAGACACGCGATGAACCCGCACCATCGTGCTGCCGGAGCTAGCTTCGAGGCGCCTTCAAAGCAGGTCGCAA